AGAAGCCCCCCCAAATAGTATTGGTAGATAGTAAGGCCCCTGCATTAGGTTTAGGAACTTTAGGGTTTCTGAGCCTGACAGGTCTCGAGACGGTACTGTGCAGGAAGGTGACGGGGTGAAACACAGAATACAAGGCTGAAACATCAAGGACAATGTCCTCTTGCAGTCCGTGTCTGACTGTACCATATACTGTAATCTACCTAAACCCTAAACCCTGGACCGTAAACCCTAAAGCCTGAACCCTAAACCCTAAAGCCTGAACCCTAAACCCTCAACCCTGAACCGTAAACCCTAATCCCTGAACCCTAAACCCTACAAACTGTATTCTCATCATGACGGCCTTAAGGCCTCTACATAAAGCTTTCGTTGAGCTGCAGACGTACGGCCTTTTGTCCAAAGTTCGTGTCAGTTTCGATCATATGCTGAAGTTGTGAGCCAAGTTGTAACTAGCATTGATGCGGCGGTGTTTGCAAAAAGGTGTCGGCTGAAAAAAGCTCAAGACTGGTTATCGCCATGCGGAATGCTGCCGTCTTGGTCTGGAAGTTGTTGAAACCCTAAACCCTAAACCCTAACATGTAAGAGGGCAGAGACGAAGACCAACACAGACGTCTTCCCAACACCAAGCTCCCTGCTTGCAGCCTGAAGCAGAGCCTGAATCCTAAACCCTAAACCCTGAACCCTAGGTTTGGGATTTAGGGTTTAGGGAGTAGGTAACCTTTAACTTCTTGGGGTTTATATAATCCTACCATAGTTGAAAAGGTGAACCTTTTTTTGGGCCAGGGTACTCAGCCCCCTATGAGTATGTTATGAGGTCTCCTGCTTGCAGGCTCTGGAGAGGTTTACAGCGATAGAGCCCCAAAGAAAAATTCTAATTCTTCCGGCCCTCCATATGTATTATACTAGTATAAAATTAAAACTAATTAAAGAAACATAAGAAGAAATGTATATTATGTATGCATGTATGTATGTATGTATGTATGTATGTATGTATGTATGTATGTATGTATGTATGTGTGTATGTATGTATTTTTGTTGATAATTTACACCACATTCCGCATGTAACCTAGATAAAGGTTTGAGGGCTTTCCCCTTGTAGTCAGAGTCTCCTTGACTTATGTTACAATGCACCCGGAAAGCCCGAAGCTAACTATCAAGGCCCCGAAGATCCAGACCCCCGGAAAGATTTAAACCATAGATCCACTAATTTGGGATCCTTTTCCACTCTTCCAAAAACCCTAAACCCTAAACACCATGAACCCTAAACCCTAAACTATAAACGCTATAACCCCCGCCCCCCCTCCCCTGCTACGGGATCTGCTTTTTGGAGCCTACTGGGGGTGCCTGGGTTGTCTCTGACAGGATGACCGCGCGAAGATCTGTGCCGCTTTGGCGCAGGTCGAGGCCGGGCAGGAGGGGGTTTAGGGGTTTGGGGGTTTAGGGGTTTAAGAGTTTAAGGTTTACGGGTTTACGGGTTTAGGGTTTAGGGGTTTAGGGTTTAAACATTTAGGGTTTAGGGTGAGATTTGATTGGTTTGTTGGAGGCTACAGACTTTAAACCTGTTTGGGGACACAGAGTGAGATTTATGTGTTTTGTGTGTATACATACATACATACATACATACATACATACATACATACATACGTACATACATACATACCCCTTCAAAACCGAAAGATTACCCAGATTACCCACCGTGCTCCTGCTGCAGCTAGGACTGAGAATGGTATCATCCACGGTCATAGAAACTAGTGGCTGACAGGTGAAGGCTGAGATGACGGCTGCGGCAACGACGGAGGCACAAGCCGAGTGTTCGTCGTTTTGTCTTGGATGCTGCAGGTCTCCGTCCCTCTCTCTCTCTCTCTTGATCACGTCGTCCTCTTCTTCCAGTTACCTGTTCCTTGATTCAAGATAAGGCAGGCTGCCTTTTTTCGGTCACGTTGGATCTCCTTGTACGAATGCGTTTTCGCATTGATCCCTTTTGACGCGTCGAACAACCGCATCGTATAGATTACAGGAAGGGGCCCGAGAGCCAAGCTGAACCTGTTTGGCCAGGCGGCACCAGCAGAGAAGAAGGAAGAGGCCCCTCCTGCCGAGGAGAAGAAGGAAGAGGCACCCCCTGCCGAAGCAGCCCCTGCAGCTGAAGCGTCCCCTGTTGCCGCAGCCGATGCCGCTGTAGAGGTGAAGAAGGAAGAGGCCCCACCTGCCGAGGCAACGCCTGCAGAAGCCACTCCGGCACCAGCAGAGGCAGCACCCGCCGCCGAAGCGACTCCTGCCGCAGCCGAAGCCGCCCCAGCTGAGGCTGCCCCAGCAGAGGTTGCCCCAGCAGAGCCCGCCCCAGCAGAGGCCGCACCAGCGGAGGCCGCACCAGCGGAGGCTGCACCAGCGGAGGCTGCACCAGCCGCTGCCGCTGAAGCGCCGGCACCTGCTGAGGCTGCACCGGCAGAGGAGAAGAAGGAGGAGGCCCCCAAAGCCGCGGCCAAGGACTTCGACGCGGAGATGAAGGCCAAGCTCGAGGACTCCGATTCTAATCTGGGAACCTGATTCAGAAACCTTGGGTCTACTGCTACTGCTGCTGCTGCTGCTGCTGCTGCTGCTGCTACTGCTACTACGACGACGACTACTACTACTTCTGCTCCTACTAGTGACAATAACAATAATAATAACAACAATAATGACATGCTAATCGTACTAAGAAGAATAGTCATCAGAACCACACCCCTAGATGACATCTCCCGGGTGCGCTTGCCTTTGACATCTGTTGACCTACAGCCCTCTCTCCCAGACTGAATTCCCGACTCTAAACCTTGAACCTCAAACCGAAGACCATAAGCTCAAAGTTTAGGGTTTAGCGATTTGGTGTTTTAGTTAAGGGTCTTAAAAATTTCAGGAACCCTCGCAGGCAGGTTTTGGGATTTGGAGCTTAGGGCTTAGGCTCATCGGATCTTGCTCGATGGGTTTGTGTCAAACCTCCACCTCGCGGCACACAAGAGTTGAGTAGGCGTCAGTCGGGGCGCATGTCAAGAAGATGCGAGTTGACTGCTGTAACCTTAGACCTGAAGACTGTTCGCTTCTTTTGCGATTCAAGATTGATCTGTACAGGAGTGTTCGAGGGTTGCGTGGGGCTTGTTCAAGCTGAGAGTAACACATGGTTTTTACAGGTCGCATCAATCGGGTGTAGCAGCAAATGGCTTGGACAGGGATGCTGATAGGAGATTTACGGATCCGAGAGCCTTGCTCCTGTCATATGTTCCCTAGAGAGTCCTTCCGTCCCGAATCCTAGATACCCAATTAGTCCTTTCATCCCCCGCCCTCAGGCTGATATCCCTACTATGGAAGCTTGAATAAGTGCCGATGTGATTCCCAAGGGATCCTGGTTGGCATTTTACTGCACGTATACACCCCAAACCCTATGCCAATTCCTTAAGGCCCGTATGCTAGCACCCTAAACCCGAAACCCCCTCCTAAACCCTATAAACCCTAAACCCTCCTAAACCTTAGACCCGAAACCCTCTTAAACCCTAAACCCGAAACCCTCCTAAGCCCTAAACCCGAAACCCTCCTAAAACCGAAACCCTCCTAAGCCCTAAACCCGAAACCCTCCTAAACTCTAAACCTTCCTAAGCCCTAAACCCGAAACCCTGCTAAACCCTAAACCCTAAAACCCAAGCTCTCAGAGGCTCATGAAGTCCCTCCAACACCTTGCAACGGGAAGCCGAAACCTCAAACCTAAGCCGAAACTCCCACACCGTAACACCCTAAAAGGGATGTATAGGGTTCCTTTAAAAAGATCTATAGGGTTCTATAGCTTAGTTCCCCAATGCCCAACCTTGAAACGTTTTGGGTTCTTAGAATTTCGTAATAATCTGAACGTTTAACCTTTTATTTCCCTGGCTTATTGGGGAAGTAAGTCCACCCCGAATCCTGCGTTCGAAACCTCTTCAAGTCGCGATCCCCCGCCAGCGGAGACTCCCAGTTAAATCCTGAGACCTACTCCTGCAGACCCTAAACTCCCAAACGGTTTAGGGTTTAGGGTTTAGGGTTTATAGGGTTTAGGGTCTAGGGTTTAGGGTTTAGGGTTCGATGCGCCGATATTTTCCCGCAGCCTAAGCCCTGAACCCAAACTTGACCCTGACACCGCCCTAAACACGCGCGAGTTCACGCAAAGACAGGGCTTGCGACATCATAAAACCCAAGATATGAAGCCCCCAAGCCTTCCTGAATCCATAATGACTGAGTCCTCCAATACCCAACCTTGAAACTTTTTGGGTTCGTATAACTTAGTAGGAATCTGAAGGTTCAGCCTATTATTTCCCTGGCTTATTGGGGAATTAAGATAATGAAGCCCGAACTCCTAAACGCCTAAAATCCGAAACCTACGGCCCTAGTACAGGGACCTAAATAATTACCTACATTATTTTGGGGTGTTCCTTAATATAACTATAGTATAATATACCCCAAAACCCTCTTCTAATTATTAAGGCCCCTACACCCTAAACCCTTATAGTAGCCAGAACCCTTTAGGGAACCCTTTAGAGGAACCTTATGAAACCCTATGAAACCCTATTCTAACTACTAAGGCCCCTACATTAGGTAGGTCGCTGGCGCAGGAGACCTTCAAGGCGATCGACTTGGACAAGTCAGGCTCGGGCTCCGGGAGGGAACTAGGGTTTAGGGTTTAGGGTTTAGGGAAATCAATAGCTTTGCGTTGTTCTGGTGGGATCTTAGGACTTTAACTTTTCGGGTTTCTATATGAACTGTAAAAGGATGCTAAATGTTTAACTTGATATGAACTATAATAAAGATGCTAAATGTTTAACTTTTAGGAGGGGTTCAGAAGTCAGCCAAGATTCTT